GGGGCCCAGAACTGGACACAATATTCCAGATGGGGTCTCACCAGGGCAGAGTAGAGGGGAAGGAGGACCTCTCTCGACCTACTAACCACCGCCCTTCTAATACATCCCAGGATGCCATTGGCCTTCTTAGCCACAAGGGCACAGTGTTGGCTCATGGTCATCCTGTCGTCCACTAGGACCCCCAGGTCCCTCTCCCCTACACTGCTCTCTAGCAGGTCGTTCCCCAACCTATACTGGAACCTGGGGTTGTTCCTGCCCAGATGCAGGACTCTACACTTTCCCTTGTTATATTTCATCCCGTTACTCCCTGCCCAACTCTCCAGCCTGTCCAGGTCTCGCTGGATGGCAGCACAGCCTTCTGGCGTGTCAGCCACTCCTCCCAGCTTAGTGTCATAAATGCAGTATTCCTCTCCTGATGTGATACCTCTGCAGTTTACATTCTGCTTCTGCTGCCCACTGAGTTCTGACTGCACTTTAACCAGAGTACTGGTTGCACATAATCCAGACTTTCTTGGGATATATTTAGGACTCTGAGCAAACAAGATCTGAGACTCTTTCTGGTTCATTAACATTCGTGGGCTCAAAGTTTACCTGCAATAAGTGCACTCACAAGCTCACGGCCTGACCAGTCCTCATGCAATGTGCAAAGCTACAAGAGGTGGAGCTCCACAGGGATGGAACAGGACAAGGGAGATGACAGCATGTTAATCCTGCGTCCACCTGTCTTCTGAGGTTATTCTTCTTCGAAGCGTAACAGTTAACACTTAAACTTGCAGCAGGAAACAGAGAAGGACACTGCAGGTTTTCTATTAATTTACATGGTGTAATCCAGTCTAAATAGAAAAGTTCATTTATTTCAAGACTGCATTTTGGAGAGACCAAGAGCCTACCATGTCTTTTACCGCAGAACTTAAATAAGTAAGTGGCAAGGAAAAGCATTTAGAGAAAACTACCTCTGGAGCAATACATAAACCTAGGACTGAGAAACCATTTATATCAAAAATGAAGTGAAGTTGGTGGTATCCTCCAGTTATTCTGCACTTTCGAGCATATCACAGAAGATGGCACAGTTTAGCCTCACCAGAATAGCAGGAAATTTACAGCATTTACAACTCTGATACATGTCCATAGAGGTGAAAGACCTGAAATACTAAACTTTTGAAAAAGTGTTTTTATTCAAAAGTTACCTCAAAAATAATATTCCAGTTTTTGTTATACATTAAAAGGTTACTACAGCAACTTGATAGCTGAGCTATAATTAAAAAAGTTTCTTACCCCTATGATACATTCTAGTTTTCAAGATTCTATCATCTCCTCTGCTGTTTTGATTGGCTATGTATTTTCTGTATTTGTTACAATAGACTTTCTAATTTAAATGACAGTAATACAGAGACCTAGAGCTCCAGCAAAGATGATATGGACTTGCCTTATTAGGTTTATTTCTCTCCAATATGCTCTCTCTTAATACTATGCAGGCTGAATCCAGTTTCTGCTCTAGCGTTGAGATAGTTAGATGTTTTTTGCTTGGGATAGGTTATTTTAAATGTGATTATCCTGATCACTTCAAACCAATACATAGAGTTGATATAGAGTTGATGTAGTTTTCTCCATCTCTTGAATTCTATGCTACTCTGAGTCTCTAACTCTTCAACCCTCACAGTCAAAATCTCTCTCACATATGACTTCCTTTTTTTTTTTTTCTTCTTGTCAGTTTTTCCTTACTGCTCATAAATTAACACTATCCTCTTGGCTGTTCTTTGCGGGAAGCATTAGCAAGGCTGGCTTTTGGGTCACTCAGTTACATAGAATCATAGAATCATAGGATGGTTTGGGTTGGAAATGACCTTAAGATCATCTAGTTCCAACCCCCCTGCCGTGGGCAAAGACACCTCACACAAAACGAGGCCACCCAAGCATCTGCCCAACCTGGTCTTGAATACCACCAGGGATGGAGCATTCACAACCTCCCTGGGCAACCCATTCCAGTGCCTCACCACCCTCACAATAAAGAACTTCCTCCTTATATCCAATCTAAACTTCCCCTGTTTAAGTTTGAACCTGTTACCTCTTGTCCTGCCACTACAGCCCCTGATGAAGAGTCCCTCCCCAGCATCCTTAAGGGCCCCTTTCAGATACTGGAAGGCTGCTATGAGGTCTCCACGCAAGTTCCTTGTTCTCTTGCATTTCATAATTGTGCTCTTCAGAAAATCTGATAAGATATAGCTGATGTATTAGTCACCCACTCCTACTGTAGACCAGGCTCAGAAGTATGCCCATAACTCTCCTTAACTGATTCATTTTAGACAGATTTTTACATATACATATATTGAATATTCAACTTGACATATACCAGAGTTGCCAAGATAAGTTAATAATTTGCCTATCACCAGATAGTCTCTGATTGCAGCTATCTAAACCCAGGGGGAATTTCCCACAGTAGTGAAATTTTCTGAAAATTTCCCTTTACTGTTTCAGCAGCAGCAGCTGTTGTGGCTCTGGTGGCTTCTGTGTCCAGAGTAATTTTAAACAGTCTCTGACCAGATTTCATGGATGCAAGGTTTATAATCACACTGGATTTACAGCTATGGTGATTTTTGTCTACATTAGGGCTTCCAGTGTTGGTACCAACAATGTAGATATACAGCATCTTTCCAGTCCTGAAAATACACTGAATGGGAAAAAAAGTCAGAAAGTGAAGACTGGCACGATCTTCTGCTGCTATCATTTCTACAGTATCCAACCATTCGTATGTCAAACACCTTGACTTACAGAATCAGAATCATAGAATAGTTAGGGTTGGAAAGGACCTTAAGATCATCTAGTTCTAACCCTCCATGCCATGGGCAGGGACACCCCACACTAAACTATGCCACCCAAGGCTCTGTACAACCTGGCCTTGGACACCGCCAGGGATGGAGCATTCACAACCCCCCTGGGCAACCTATTCCAGTGCCTCACCACCCTCACCGTAAAGAATTTCTTCCTTATACCCAATATAAACTTCCCCTGTTTAAGTTTGAACCTGTTACCCCTTGTGCTGCCACACAGTTCCTAATGAAGAGTCCCTCCCCAGCATCCCTAAATCCCCCCTTCAGATACTGGAAGGCTGCTATGAGGTCTCCACGCAGCCTTCTCTTCTCCAGGCTCAACAGCCCCAACTTTCTCGACTGTCTTCATACAGGAGGTGCTCCAGTCCCCTGACCATCCTCTTTGCCCTCCTCTGGACTTGTTCCAACAGTTCCATGTCCTTTTTATGTTGAGGACACCAGAACTGCACACAATACTCCAGGGGAGAGCAGAGTAGAGGGGCAGGATCACCTCCTTTGACCTGCTGGTCACACTCCTTTCGACACAGTGCAGGATACGGTTGGCTTTCTGGGCTGCGAGCGCACACCGAAGCCAGCTCATGTTAAGTTTCTCATCAACCAACACCCCCAAGTCCTTCTCTGCAGGGCTGCTCTGAATCTCTTCTCTGCCCAACCTGTAGCTGTGCCTGGGATTGCTCCGACCCAGGTGTAGGACCTTGCACTTGGCATGGTTAAACTTCATGAGGTTGGCATCAGCCCACCTCACAAGCATGTCGAGGTCCCTCTGGATGGCATTCCTTCCCTCCAGCGTATCAGCTGAACCACACAGCTTGGTGTCATCAGCAAACTTGCTGAGGGCGCACTCAATCCCATTGTCCATGTCAGCGACAAAGATGTTGAACAAGACCGGTCCCAACACTGATCCCTGAGGGACACCACTCGTTACTGGTCTCCAGTTGGGCATTGAGCCATTGACCACAACTCTGTGTGTGTGGCCATCCAGCCAGTTCTTTATCCACCGAGTGGTCCATCCATCAAATTGATGTCTCTCCAATTTAGAGACAAGGATGTCATGTGGGACAGTGTCGAATGCTTTGCACAAGTCCAGGTAGATGATGTTGAGTGCTCTACCCCTGTCCATCAGTTCTGTAGCCCCATCATAGAAGGTCACCAAATCGGTCAGACAGGATTTCCCCTTAGTGAAGCCATGCTGGCTGTCAGCAAGCACCTTGGTTTTTTTCATGTGCCTTAGCATGCCTTCCAGGAGAATCTGCTCCAAGATTTTGCCAGGCACAGAGGTGAGACTGACTGCTCTGTAGTTCCCTGGGTCATTCGTTTTCCCCTTCTTGAAAATGGGGGTTATATTTCCGTTTTTCCAGTCATCGGGAACTTCACCTGACTGCCATGATTTTTCAAATATGATGGACAATGGCTTAGCAACTTCATTTGCCAGCTCCTTCAAGATCCAGGGATGGATTTCATCAGGTCGCAGGGACTTGCGCACATTCAGGTTCTTAAGATGGTCTTGAACCAGATCCTCTCCCAGAGTGGGCCCAAGTCTTCATTCTCACAGTCCCTGAGTGTGCCTTCCAAGACTTGGGTGACGTGGTCAGAGCATTTGCCAGTGAAGACTGAGGCAAAGAAGTCATTCAGAACCTCAGCCTTCTCCAAATCCAGGGTAGCCAGTTCTGCTAATAGCTTCCGGAGAGGGCCCATGTTTTCCCCTACTCTGTCTTTTATTTGCAATGTACCTAAAGAATCCCTTCCTGTTATCTTTAACACCCCTAGCCAAGTTTACTTTTGCTGATATCAACTGATTACAGCATTGACATTTAGGCTAGGATTTTCAAAGGATTTTGAAGTACCTGTATAAGCTTAATTCATATTATTTCATATTAATTCATATTATTCATATATAATACCCATGTAAGTAATTCAATTGCACCACTGATACCTCAGACACTGTTAAGAATCTAACTGTGACTTTCCACAAACACCAAGGGGGAAAGTTTCTTTTTCTCCAAGGGGCTGTTGGGATTTCATAAGTATAATTAATAACTTAGAGGTCAAGTGTCTCTCACATTGTCATTAATAAACCCATTACTTGTGTTCAGCCAGTAACAGTATAGGGAGATGAATAAATAGGAAGTTTGAAGAGGAAGTGTGAAAAACAGACTGAAGACTGTAATGTTGATTGTAATCATTATGCTTCTTCACAGAGAAGATGAACAACTCTCTGCTTGCTGCTATCTTTTTATTTGCAACAGGTAAGCTTTTATGTGCTGCATAACTTGATAATGTTTATAAATAGTAAAAATTCTTAATGCCACTCAAAGACAAGGCTGTATAGCGAAAATCATGACTGAATTAATTTCTGTAGGTGGGAGAAACAACAGCCAGTAACATTTATTTTGCTATCTCTGTTGCCGTTATCTTGTTGAACAATAGCTTTTTATTTCCCAGATTCCTGCAGCTCTATGACCCAGGGTTTCCCATTCTGCCAGCAGCTCCCAGGTGAGTAAATACTTCTCAAATAATATCTTACTTAATTGCACAGATGAACATCACTGTTGAATGGGGACCCTGCTGGATGGACTGATCAAGGGGCAAAGGGATGGCACCAGCACCCTTGTGTGCAGCCACCAGGGACCCTGCCTGCTGAGATGGAGCTGGGACCACCTCACACTGTCTTGAAACAGTTAGTCTCAAAAGCAACAGCAGTTTCAAAAGACAGTGCAGTGTAATGTTTATGTGTGATAATTGTTGATGCCTTACATTTAACTGATAGATTACTGTTAATGGCAAAAAGGGCCAGCCCAATGCATTTCAGTGGATGTTATTATTCTTTTCTAAAGAAAAAGAAACTGATTGAGATGTCTTTAGAACAGAGAACAAGTTTTTTCTTTCTTCGCATAGCTCTTGGAATACAGTCATGATACAGGACTAGTACTGTTCTTAGTCTGGGAAGTACTAATAATAGACATGTTCTTTAAGTGGAAGCAGCATAATAAAACAAAAAAAAAAAAAAAGCACTAGGACAGAACTGAATATGCACATGGACTAATTCCCACAAATAGAACAAGTGAAAACAAAGTGTGTAGCATTCAGTATGTTCATCTGGAGAAAGTAACAGAGAATTTAATATATTGGCAGCAGGGTAGTGCATCAACGTGTTAGTTGAACTTACACACTATTTCCATATATAGAATCTTATTTTTATCTTTGTCTGTTCTAACACCATCATCTCATAGAGAAAGTCAGAGGTTTTTTGGAAGACTGGGAGCATGAGGGAAAATACAACCCCCCTTGTTCTGTAAGCAGATGTCTGCAACACTGTGGTAACCATTTGGATCTCAGTTAATAGAAATTATTTGAGGAAGAAGTTAGTAGAAATTTAGTGGAAGAGTCAAAATATTTCCTTCTTGTTATTCTCTCAAAAACTGTTATTTCAAGTAGTTTTGGAAGCAGTATGTTACAAATATATTGGCATAAAGTATTACAGCAGTTCCAAAAAGCATTTATTTTCAGGTGTTTATTTTACAGAAAAAGAACAAAAAAAGAAACACAAAATAAATGAAAGGCTTAATCCAGAGTAAAACAGAAGAATATGAGAGCAGTTGTCACTTTCCCCAGTTTTTAGAGCACTATGTCTATGGGTGAGACAGCCAAGATGTGGCTGGTCATCAGAGTAGGAAAGCAAAGAATTCAATAATTATTCACATTGCTGTAGAAACAAGGAAAAACTGATCTCCACCTTCCTGAAAGAAAGTTGCACACATCTAAACTGATGCAGCATAGCTTTATTAGAACAGCACATTTCTTTTAGTAGGAGAGAGGAAGTGACATAGAGTGAGAGTACTAAAGTCTGAGCTGTACTCATCCGACACTCTTTTTTGTCCAAATAAACTTTTAAATATACAGCTGCTATTTGAATGGTGAAAAGAATACTGGGGATACTCTGACTGTGGAAAAGAGGAGGAATGAAATTTTATTTCATAGCCATAACTATGCTGTGACACCAACTTCAGAGATATGCATAGTTACTTACTCAGTAGCAAAATATTTCTTAGTCAAAATTGACAGGTCTATTGGCAACTCATGAAGCCTAAGAGAAATAAAGGACATGTGAGTCTACTTATCAAGAAAAATTCATTTTTATCACCTTAAGTATCCCGTACCTGTTGAGATCCCTATCTACTTTCCTGAAGAGAAAAAAAAAACAGGGTCTTTTTGTAAAGGTGTGGGTGGTACTTTAAGACATCATAGCTGATTCTTCTGAACTAACAGTTCAGACAGTAAGGTGTAGAGCAAAAGCATAACAGTCATATTTTATCATTACTGTTACTGATAAGAGATTTTTGAAACAGAAATAAGCTTAACTGCTAAAGACCAAAAATCAGTTCCTTTAAGAATGTCATCAGTGTTTTGCTTTCCTTCAGCTGAAAAATGTGTATGTTCAGTTGCATAAAACTCCCATATTTTTCTTTCAAAAAATTAAGCACAAATCATTTTGTATATAAACTTATGCTACTACTACTTTATAATGTGATCTTTATGAAGCTGGTAGTGTAAGAGACATACTGTTTTTTTCCAGCAATAGTGCATTATTCTGAACTCTGGATAGAGATGACTGATGGGTTTGGAGTGATTTTGGAACCTAGCCAGCTGGTTCTACTGTTGAGAATTAGCCCTACTCTGCAGTGTATAATGCTTTGCAAGAAATTCCAAAGCAATTCTTGGCAGCTGAAAATTTCTGAAACATCACATTGGCCCTTGGTGTTACTAAAATGCAGTCCTTCACTCCTTTTTGTCTCCCAACTCAGTTGCATGGAATTAATTTTTAAGATGCTTCACAAAAGAAGTGAGGCAGTTCTGGCCTATACTTTCAGAAATGTCTATAAATTTGTGTTTAACATTCAGTAAGCTGCTCAAGCAGAGCCAATCCCAGTTTATGCTCTTGCAGGTGAACAGTGCCTTCCAGGCAAGGCAGATGCTCCTGGTTCTGTTCTCCAGGGTTCCCAGGTCACAGCAACTCCTCCAGAGAAGGGGCTTGCTCCCCAGACCCAGAGTAACCCACCACAAGCCAAAGCTTTGTACAGATTTCAGCAAGCATTTGAGCATTTCCAGAAACATATTGTCATGACAGGCACTGTGTGTCAGATGAGAACAGCGTGAAACCAGAGCAAAGATGGGAGATAAAAATCTGAGGTCTCTTACAGCAGATGTTCACAGTAATTTTGTCATCTGGTTCAAGATTACTTTGCAATAACTTTCCTTGAAGCAGAATGCCAAAAGCTCTGATGATTCCTTTAATACATGCAATTTATTTCTGCATTTTTGTGCCAAAAAATGTGATAGTGTTTTCAGCAGTATAACAGATATTTTGTTAAGAACTGAAAAAAAGGAAAAAAAAAAATTAAGCTTTATAACGTTCAGAAGCAAGCAGCAAGCAATATGTCACTATCATAGGAGAGAAGTACAGTTCAAATACGTAACCATAGCAAAGCTGTAGGAAACACCATAACAAGCATTTCAGCACTATGTTGTTGGGTACATAACAGCTGGTAATGGCATCATAACACACATGAAGAATTATCCCTTTCTACCTTTATGCAGGAAAACTAGGTTTTACTTGGAAACTTTAGGACTGATAAGGTTTAATCTTCCTAAATGTCTCTGTGCCTTGTTCTCAACATTAGTGAGCTACTTGCCTGAGAGTAAACATGGTATAAGGACTCACATAGCTAGTTCTTATTTTGTTGCATAGAAGGGTATAGCCCGCTTTGTATTTGTGTTTGCTTCAAATCACCTTTCACTGATTAATGGTAAGCAGTTGCCTGTGATGGGACTTTTCTAGTCTTCGTATTTTCATCTTGCAGATTGGGACAATGAGTTGGTATGCTACAAAGAATTAAGTGAGGATCTAACCTGTACCTGGCTGCCAGTACCCAGTGCTCCGAATACAATTAATTATACCATCTTCTTAAAATGGTAAGACTAAAAAGTCATTTCAGAAAACTAAAAGCTGTTACATTGCTATTCAGAATGATTTCTGCTTGCTAGATCTTTGCTCCAACATATTTCATCACATTGTAAGTTGTTACACAATACTGGTCAAAATCTGTCTTCACATTTTATCAGTACATATTGATTTGGTAAGAGTATGGTGGGTTGACCCTGGCTACACATCAGATGCCTACAAAAGCTGGTCTGTCACTCCCCCTCCTTAGCTGGGCAAGGGAAAGAAAATATAACAAAAAGCTTGTGGATCAAGATTTTCCTGGTCAAAATGGCCTCAACTTGGAGAAAGTGATCTAATTTATTACCAATCAAATCAGAGTAGGATAATAAGAAATAAAACCAAACATCAAAACACCTTCTCTCCACCCCTCCTTTCTTCTCGGTTCAATTTCACTCCCTATTTCTCTGTCTTCTCCCCTCCCTAGCGGCACAGGGGGATAGGAATGTTGGTTGTACTAAGCTTATCATATGTTGTCTCTGCTACTTCTTTCTGCTCACACTCATCTCCTGGTCCAGCGTGGGATCCCTCCCACGAGAGACAATCCTCCATGAACTTCAGTGTGAGTCCTTCACACAGGCTGCAGTTCTTCATGAACTGCTCTAGTGTGGGTCCCTTCCATGAGTGCAGTCCTTCAGGAGCAAACTGCTCCAATGTGGGCCCCCTGTGTGGTCACAAGTTCTGCAGCAAACCTGCTCCAGTGCTGGCTCCTCTCTCCATGGGGCCACAGGTCCTTTCAGGAGCCTGCTCCAGTGCAGGCTTCTCATGGGGTCACACCCCTGCTCCGGTGTGAGGTCCCCCATGGGCTGTAGGGGCACGGCTACCTCACCATGATCTGCACCATGGGCTGCAGGGGAAGCTCTGCTCCCGCTACCATTGCTGGTGGGATCAGTGTTGGCCAGCAGCGGGCGCATCCTGGAGCTGGCTGGCATCGGCTCTGCTGGATGCAGGGGAGGCTTCTAGCAGCTTCTCACAGGAGCCACCCCGTAGTCCCCCCAGTACCAAAATCTTGACAGGCAAAGGCATTACAAAGAGTCATTTATACATCTTTCCATTATTCGGACACATTGTTTGAAACACTATTGCCAAACAGCCCTTTAATCAATTTCTCTCATTTGCATCTATTGACTTGCATGTAAAACACACAAAAAACAAAACTAAGCTGGTTTTTATTATACTATATATATTGTGTTATACCATGTATCCAAGGAGATGTCAGATGTGGCACATAAGAATAATAGATTTTAAAATATTTTCTTGCAATTCTGAGTTATCTAGTACTGGTTTAATGGGTAGAATGAACTCGTAGGCTTAATCTTAAACTGATTACCTTCTTTGAGAAATCTACAACAAAAAAAGCCAAGTAAAATGGGCAGATTAAATTAATACTTGTCCATTTGTTTGTTAAAAATAAATAAAAGTAAGCAGATTTCTGTCTCAGTACCTGCATTACAAAGTGGATTTTCCTCATTTTTTGGTACGTATTTAGGATCTCTCATGAGATCAAGGTATGTTTAGAAATAGAGAACTAAGATCAGATGAGATGATCTTTACGGTGAGACCATATCATGGGGTACACAGAGTACCACATTGTATGACGTTGGCAGATTCTGATACTCGTTGCCAATTATTTTGCCACATAACCCATCACTCTGCATTTAAATAAGATCTGTGGTTAGAAGCATTGTCACTACACTGGGAAATTCACGAGAGTGATCTTCTGCACATTGCAGAGGAGCAAAGCAATCAACTCAGGGCTGAGGTTAGTTCCCTCCATGACCTTCAGTATTTTCCCACTGGAGATAGCATCAAGGGCCAAGCTGCAATAAGCACCAAATCCCACTGCTTTTGCTGTCTTGCCTCCTGGGGCTTTCAGGTGTCCTGATTTCTTCAAAGGGGAGAAGCACCTGTGAAACAGCTCTGCTTCTGTAGAGATATTATCAGCCTAAGTATTTATAAGCTAGTTGCTGGTAAGAGTCCTCAGCCAAAATCAGACTGTACTGTTCCTAGGCTGCAGGGTTGGTGTTATGAGCAGAGAAGGCAGAAGAAAGAGTGAAAGAGGAGGTGGGTAGGAGAGCAGGGAGGCAATTGCCTTATAGAGAGGTTGATTTTCCCAACCCGGAGGTAGGTCTTGAACCTCAGTCTCCAACACTTCAACCCAGTTGTCTTAAAGAAAAACTTCCTTTCACCCCTTACTTGGATAAGAGAAAAACAAAAAAAAAAGGTTGAAAGGGCTTTTGCTTGCCTAGAAGAGGACATCACCCCTTTCTGCAGGTAACATCAGTCTGACATTGAAATTGTTCCTTATCCTTGCTCCGTATGATTTAGTTGTCAGGAAGAAAAGGATTAAAGAAAAATACTCCCACAGAAAAGTTCCAACCAAGCATTCAAAGTCACGCTTTGAAATATTAATGGCTGATTCACAGCTAGACTAAGCAGAAGACAGGGAAACCTTCAAGTAGTTTTGTTCAGTTATTAAATATTGTATCATGATCAGCACATTTAATACTTGAAATATGTAGGGAGGGGATTCATACATTTCTTTAAGAACATTCAACTGGCACAACTTTAACCTTAAAAAAAACCTGTACTTTGTGTGGCAGAGAGTAAATGAGAGAGAAATGGGGAAGGAAACCTAGTCAGAACAGGAACAACCTCCTGTGTGAGGACTTAAACCTCTTGCACTTCCTGTGCTGTGTGCATTAGGTATACCAAAAGTCTACAATGCTGAGGAACTGAGGTGTCATTTAAATACATGTGTCAAACTCTGATGTTTTGAAGGAACAGAGTCAGAAGGCAAGCATATAACTTGCAAGAAATTTTTCATACCTTTGTGGTAATTTAAAGTCAGTTAACTGGGAAATTCTGCTGTTCAAGGGGAATTTTAGGTGCCCCTATGGTAGGTGGCAGGTAGACTTTATAAACAATATCTAACCTAATTTTATACCTCCTTTACATCTCACTGTAAGTACAAAAGAAGGCCAAACAGATTTTGTCTTATATCACGCTGTGCCTTGCAAGTTTCAGGAATTTAACACCATGCAATGAAGACTTGCAGGTGCAAATTCGCTAGATTTACTAGGGTACTGGAATTACATTTGCTGTTTCAAGCTGCTCAGGCCACACCTGCAAGATTTCAAGATACTGAACTTTGTGTATAGGTACCTGGAAAACTATTAATTGCTGTAAAATTGTGTTCTGAGGCAGGAATGAGTAAATTTAGTCCAATAAAATGTTTGTTTTACATTCTGCTTCCTTTTCTCCAAAGGGACAGAATACCAAAACTTTTTCAACGAAACACGTCATCATCTTCCATCACGATAGAACGAAAGAATCTCTACATGAAGCGATCTGCGTCAATCTGGATAGCAGTCAATTATGCCCATGACAGCTGTGTGAAAGGAAAGAAGATCTCAGTTACACTGAGCAAAGCAGGTACAGCGGCTTCATGAATTGTGTCACTGCAGACCCAACCTGAAGCACTGGCAGCATTTTCATAGATTATTTCCAAAATTGTAACTCCCAGTATGCAGTTGTTATTTTTATGGGTCCAGAGAGCTAAGCTGAAGTTTGGCTTCCTTGGAAGAAATCTTTACTGAAGTCAATAGCCAAAGTCTATCAGCTTTTATGGGAGAAGAGTTTTACTTTAAACCATTTGCTAGACTAGGAAATAGTCATAGCCAGAAAATATATCCTGATACTTGTGTACAGTACTTAACCAGTTTCCTGTGCTCTCTTTAATGGTTTACTGAACATCTTTATTGGTTTATGAAGAGCAGGTTGACTCGGTACCATGCACTTAAGGAATCCTTGTCATAGAGCATTAACATTTTGAGAAACCTTTTCAAATTTCAACTCTTTTTGAAGGCCAGTTACCCATTACATGGTGCTGCAGGGGAGATATAAAAAAAGGTAAATCTTATCAACTGTGTCCTTCAGATGTTTATTTAAAGATTCCCTACAGTATCTGATCACTGAGATAACTTTGAGGGCTTTCCAAATCTTCCCAAAAAATCATGGTCCAAGAAAAAAAGGTGCTCCTTACTGCCACGGAGAACTACCAGTACAAACCAAATTATCCCTATGACCTCCACAGAGGCTTTTAGCCACCTTGTGTTTATTAGGGAGGCAGACAAAAATGTATTTGCACTTAAAATTGCATAGATAAAGCAGTTGCTGAAATTGGAAGATGTCCTGGAAATTTTTTTGTACAATCGACAAATATAGGTACTCTTGGCATTTTTGTTTTGCCTTTGAGACTCACTCAGGTTAGCACCTGTTTAGAAAAAGAGTCTTTCTGAAATAAGTAGAAGCATTCACAAAAGAAAGACAGGAGGATCAACCCTGTTTTGTTGATGCCATAAAGATTTAGTAATTATTTCTTTTCAGTCTTTTTAAAGTCTTTCAGTGTTCAGTATTCTGTGCCAAGCCTTTTATTTTTTATAAACCACACCTGACAGACATAATTACCAAAACCCTTCATCCTTCTCTTGTATTTACAACAGCTGTATGTTCCTCATTTTAGGGAAGTGCTTGACACCATCAAACATAAATGCTCATCAGGTCACAAACCAACTGATAGTAAAGTGGGACCTGCCTGCAACTCCTACAGTGTATGAGCTGAGGTACAGAGAGGCAGTCGCAGAATCCACTCGGTGGACGCTGGTATGTACTTAGAGATGAAAATCATTTGAGAACATGAGGTGCCTTATTATCAGTACAGCAATACATATCACATATGCAGGACATTGACAGGATGCTACTGCAGAGCACACACAACATGAATAGCAAGGAGGCACAGCATGCAGATAATCTGTAGGCAAATCTCACAAAGATCTCAGGCTTGTTCTAACAGATCCTAAATTTGTTAATAGTCTTACACAATAAAATATAGAGCAGCATGTCACCCTTTTCACATTCAGAGTATCATTGTTTTGTTTCTTTAAATGTGGTTAAGTTAAAAAATAAAGATTGTTTTGGCCCACTGGGGTAGTTTGGAACAGGTTACTGTAAGTATCTTGTTGAGTGAAACCTTATTGTGTTACAATAATTGACCTCCTCTCTGTGTTCTAATATTGACTCCCAGGGTTTGCCTGTCCACGAGAGTGAGTATAATGGATGGGAAGTGATAGAAAAACCAAGTACATTCTTCCTCCAATATTCTAAAGTTCCCACTAATTGTTGTAACTCCTTCCTTGATTGGGGCATTAGCAGCTTTTTTGTTTTTCTCAAGGTTTCTGGAGCAATCACTTCACTGCCTGCTATCCACCAAGTATCTAAAAATTTTACTTCTTTACTTGGTCCCGGCATTTTCCACATGGAATATCAATTTCTGCTTCATTTAGTGCTTGCCATACTGCTGCTGCTGCTTTTGCCACCTTCTCAGGGGAAGTTCCTCCAATCAGAATATCGTCTATATATCATTACAGTTTCACATCCTTGGGGAGTGAGACTGCCTGTGAAAGTTCTGCAAGTGTGGCATGGGCAATTGTGGGTGAATGTTAATACCCATGTGGGAAGCTGTTAAAAGTATGTACTACTCCCTCCAAACAGAAAACTCCTCTATCATACATTAGGGGACCCATAAAGAACATATCTTTTACATCTAATGCCGCCATCCATGGTTGTGCAGCTTCAGCTGCTTGCAAAGTAGTTGCAAGTTTGGAGTGTTTGGTACAGCAGCTGTTAGCAGAGATGTATTAGCATTCAGGTGCCAACAGTCAACTGCTAAGCGCTACCTCCTGCTTGGTTTCCAACTGACTGGACAGGTGACATACATGGGGAACGGGTTCTGGATGTCATTTGTCATTTCTCCAAATCTCCAGAAATTCCATTCCATGCCACAGCAGAATTCAGTTATTGTGGTACATTAGTAATTTTTGAGTGCCATACACTTCTTGACCAGGAGCCATAAATTCACCTTGGCAGTTCAACATACAACACTTGCTTCCTTCAGACCACTGATCTTAACCATCTGGATTGAATGGCCAGCTTCTCAATATATTCTCAGTATACTGAAGTATATTCTTCAATACTATCTTCTTGTGTTAGTATTGAAATTTGTGCTCCCCTGTCTATTAAAAATTCCACCAAGTGTCCTTGAGGACCAGCTGGAATTAAAATACATATGGGCCATCACCACTTACGTCCTGATAAGCCTCCACTTTCCAGACAGGAAGGCAAACTGCCTTCTGGCATTACTCTGGGTTTTTTGATTCAGGCCCTGCAATTCCTCCCTAAGAGGAAGGAAGAGGTTGTGTCCCTTACTGAGGACTGGTGCTGGCGGATTTGAAATAATAGGCTCCTTTTTTTCACAGTTATCTAATTTCTGGGAGGCTTCAGCAGGCTGACCTTGAATCATGGCTCTGGGAATGCTTAGGGCAACAGCTTTCCCATTATACAATTGTCATGAGCCCATTTTTCTGAGAAGCTGGGACTTGGATTCACCTCATACCTCCATAAATAATCAGTGGTACTACTCACCAACCTATCAAATAAATCAATTTGTTACAAGTGAAGTGTGTCACTTCATCCACAAAACAGAGTAGCAATATGTTATTGATATAAAACTGCAATTTAACAAAGCCTGATAGTAAATGTGATAGTGATTTAACAAGTTTTGATGGCAAGGTACGCTTGAGTATTTACTGCATAGAGGACAGGATTAGACAAAACTGTCAGGGAGGCCTTCCCATTGAGTCATGAGGTTCAGGAAGAGCCCCCATTGTATTCTAAACTCCTTCCTGAGGGGAGCTCAGGTGCAGCTGAATCCAGACTTAGTCACAGACTTCATTGATGGTGCATTACAGCCGCCACTGGTGGTTATCACTTGAAGAGGGTTATGTGAAATAAAGGTCTGGTTGGAGAAGTAAATACACTGACACAGATGTTAATTAATTAATTTTAATTAAAAAAAAAAAAACTGCAAAAAAAAAAGAAGAGCTAGGTTGTTTTGTTTGGGGGTTTTTTGTCTGTTGGTTTTGGTTTTGGTTCTTTGATAGGCTTTTTTAGGAATTGCGTATCATTAAGAAAACAAAACTTTACAGCAGACAAATGCTAAACCAAATATTTCAATCTGCAATACCACTTTTACCAAAAATGTTACAACACATGGACCAAAAGTCCATGTAAGGCAGGATACTGTGATCTAATGGTGACGACCAATGGACATCTGGGAAAAAGTGTAAAAGAGTTCAAGCATAAAGCAACAGTTTTCTATTATATTTTCTCCCATAGTTTTCAGCTCAGGTATTTCCTCAGACACAGGTGGTGTCTTTCTTTGAAGACTATCTCCATTCCCTTTACAGTTACTGGAGGTCCAGTGCCGTCATCAGCTGCAGATGCAGACCACTTCTGTGGTACTAAGGCATAGGCTGCCACACATTCTATTCAGCCATGCTCACTCCTTACCACATCAGCCATACAGATCCATTTAGATTAACGTTTGAGAATAAAGGTATTTTTTTTAATATTTAATTTGACCTTAATATCTTCTTCTTCAGAATGCCAACAAGGCAAGTTTATTAGGTAAGTTAGGTAAGATTATTTTTCATTATATATAATGCTTAATTTATTTTAAAAAACACTATTTAGACCTAAATTGTTGCTTATATATTGTGACTGCGCAGATCATGAAGCAAAGGGTATTGCCTTGAGAGAAAGAGTGAAAAGACATTGGCTAAAATGTGTAGTAAATCTTCATTGATGAACAGGGACCCCTACTTTTGGCTGCAGTCAGGTGGCTGGTTCTTGATTGAGAAATCAGTTAATACAAGATTATGTTTTATTGCTGCCACATAAATTAAACACATCATTTGTTTTTAGGTGCCTGTCAAAAGCAGTGCTGTCAATGTCACCATTTGGAATTTAAATGCTATGTCTTCATACATTGTTCAGCTTAGATGCATAGCCAAGGATGATCTCTACTGTGTTTGCGTTTGGAGTAAAGAGATTTTGGTCCCTCACAGTAAGTGAAATATAGTTTTGTCCTACTGGGAATAAGCATGAATGTAAAAACCTCTTAAAATCTTGTATATATAGAAATAGCATTGTCAGATTCTGTTGAAAATATGATGATCATATTGATTTATATCAGTGCATGTTTCCATCTTTTTCCACATTTACCAGAACTCATGAACAAGCCAAGAATATCATACAATGCAACTACAGAAATTGCTCCAGGCAGAAGAAGTGTTCTTCTGAAGTGGGAGGTAACATTCACTTTGAGTCTGAGTACCTTCTATATGTCCATGTTATTAATTTATTACTTTGTAGGAAAAAAATAGATTTTCTCATCATAATGAGACTACTGTATAAGCAGAAGGCATTGAATACTGTAGTCTCACTTCAGGATTCACTGCATTTTTATGGTGGTGTTCTAGGTTCTAGAAATTAGCAAGGAAAAAAACACACCAATTTATAAACTTGAAAAATTATTAAACCAGCAATCTCTGTGCTCAAAATCATTGACTAAAGATTTTTCCCAGCTTTCATTAAAAATAGGTGTGCCTCAAGTTTGCCACTTTTCCTAAAAAGAGCCTAAGTCTTTAACGCATACAAGTGACATACCTTGTGTTTCACATGTTCATAAGGAGCATCCATACTCTCAAGAGACCAAAACCTTTTAGAAAAGGTTTGTATGTCTACTAATTTACTAATTCAGAAGTGCAAATACATTATAATAGGGACAGAAAAAGAGTCTCTGGCTTGTAAGAGCAGCTTCAAACTGCATGTTTCCCATAATGACATTTAAAGTTCAAACCTATACAGCAGAGGCATGCTCTTTTCTTCAGCAGGAGTTGTTATCAGCTGACTGACTACAACAGCATTACCAGCTGAAGTTCTCTTGGTAAGAAATGAACAACTTGAATATACAGTCAATGGGCAAACAGGCAATTTCAATGAACAAGGTGTACTAGAGGCATTTGCATGGAAACTAATTAATATTATCGAAATTCTGAGAGAAGTGTCTACAAATTCCAGTAAGTTTGACATAGGGAAAATCCCTGACAGAAAGGACAGACTCTGGCAGAGTTTTCAAATATCAGAATTGGAAAGTTCTGTAGTTACCCCATGCACTTTTGTCAAAGGAAAGAAAAGGCAGCAGAGGAAATAGACATCTTCTGATAAGCATAAGAGATCCCCTTTTTCCCTTATCTACTCATAAAAAGGCAAAGCTGCACACTAAATTATTCATCTTGTGACCAAGCAATAGACTGTACATGCCAATTTAAATGTCAAGTTAAGAGAATAAATTTTTCTCCATCTAAATGCTTTAGTTAAAAAAAAAAAGACAATATTAAATATAGAATCAGGGCTAGGATCTTCATTCAGGATAATACTTATACTAGTCTGTTATACAAAATAGGGTTCAAATCCAGATGGCTTCAACAAACCTCAAAGGAGCAGAAGGAAGGACTGAATGCAATAATTAACATGTTAAATGTAGATGGAAAATCTTCAACTCTGCTGCCATACTTGTTTAAGCTGGTCTGAAACAAATAAAGCAGCTTAGAGATATTTCAGCTAGCCATCACTCCTCTGTTTTTGCTAATGTTCAGTTAACAGCCTGGCTTCAGCTCTAAGCACCTGACCAGGCAACGTGTTGCTTTCATGGCTGCACATCACCCGGCACCTCCTGCAGGACTGCACAACATAAAGCAGTGCTAACTTTTTCTGGTCTCAATTTGCTAAACTAAGAAGGCTAAATTCTACTAGTTTCTTCTTGTGCAATAGACCTCATAATTTCACTTATCCTGGGAATTATTTCTCCTACACAGAAACATTTTCCAGTTTCAAAGTCTGATGAGAGGACCATAACACTCTTCTCCCAACAGCTTTACCAGAGCTTCAAATAATGGCACTAATTCTTCCCTCTTTATCCTGGGAAAACATGTTTCCATTTTAAAAACCTCCAACTTTATCAGAAATTCCTCTCAACACAGGTGTCTCTGCTTTTTAAATTGTCATCCTGTTTATGTTACTCCAAAAGCACCCAATAATTTCATTAACATAACCCAATTTCTCAGCTTTGCAGCATCTTCACACTATTAATTTTGTACCAAGAAATAACAATCTTGATACCAGAAATAATCCTTGCAGAATTCACAGGCCTTCATGTATAAAGCTCAGTTTCTATCTAGATCACAGTAATATCCATTTCTATGCGCTCATTTTCCAATCTCTCATAAAGATTAGTACAGTAAAATGACATGTGAACCATTGCCACGTAAAAATGTATCAGTGGATACACAACGTGTTCTGAAGTTGTAGTGTAATTACTAGCATTTATCCTCAAAGGGACCAGTTGCCTAACAAAATTTAGTCGATGAAGATTCCCAGAGGCATGAATTGCAATTAAACACCTCTCATTAACTTTCAAGTTCCTAATTATGAGGTGTATGTTCCACTGAAATGTACAGAATGTTACAGCTGCTTCACTGCTGTTATTACTAATTGGATACACATAACTAAGATCTCAATTAAGCAAAACACTTAATACCATGCTTAAATCCCCTAAATTTAAGTCTGCTCCTAATTTTAAGGAAATGCTTTACTTCATTGATTCCTAATAACCTAATTAAAGCAGTATGATTCTCTCCCCCTCATCAAAGATGACAATTTGGTTTTACAATTTAATCCCTCTTGATTTTTCTGCACAGAACATAATAATATTTATAGAATAATAATCTTTTTTCTCTTACTAGGTAACACAAAGCGAGAATATCCTTGGATATTACATTAATGTGGAAAGAATACCCAACAGCTGCAGTGATTCACCAAATCGCATCTTTCTAAAGGACAGAGAAGTTCTTGTAAATATTTCTATGGCTTATTACAGAGTTAGTATTTCTGCCTATAATCAAGCAGGAGAATCTCCTCAAGCCATCTACATTGTCCCAGACTTCTGTACAACAGGTACTTACTTTATCATTCATTCATTAGAGCAGTGGGGAGGTTTTATGAGCAATCTGTAATCTACCCTTTGTCAGTCTTTGGGACAGGGTTAAGTATGTTCTTGAATATTTTTAGGCTGTTATTTTTGCATAGCAAGAGTCAGTACTGCTTCTTAAGAAACGATTTCAATAGAAGTTAACAAACAGACCAAGCAATTTAAGATTTTGTTCATCACTTCCCATTTTCTCAAACTAGAGAAGTAGCTACGTGATAGATCTACCTATCAAAAGGAGGGTCATCAAAGTTAAGTAGATACCAGCAGTTTAAACAAAGTTTGCAGAATGATGTGCAAATCCAATGTTTTTAAGCTAAGTAACTATTAAGAGACCTGCTACTGTCCTTTATTTCAGTATTATCCCTGCTGGTACATGGTGAGAGCAATAGGGAGAATGTACTTGTCATATTCCAATGAAGATGTAAGCTATTGTGATGCCTAAAGACACAGGTTTTTTTTTTTTCATTTCAACAAGAAAACATTTTAACATTGTTTTTCTTATAATATAAGCGAGTTTCATTCGTTATAATCTTGATGTACAGCTATTGCAATAAAAGAAAACCTCTCTCTTCCAAAGTAAGAATTATTTCTTTTTTCTTAAATTAACCTATAGCATGTGTAAGCGTGCAAGCACCTTTGTTGGTCTCCAGACAGCTGCAAGTCATTGATTTTTCCAGAAACAAGTAGTTTCTGGACAAACTCACACAAAAAGGAAACCTATAGAGGCTGGAAGCAGGGACAGGTAGCCTGAGAGGAATACAGGAAAATTGTCTGGCAAGCCAGGGATGATGTTAGTGAAGCTAAAGACCTGGCAGAATAATCTGATCAGACACATCAAGGGCAACAAAAAAAGCTTCTCTAGGTCAGTTAGTGGTAGGGACAGACTTTTTAGTAGGACCTGTTGCAATAGGACAAGGGATAATGTTTTGAAAATAGAAGAGGAGAGATTCAGACTAGATATAATGACATGTGGCTGCCCCATCCCTGGAAGTGTACACGGCCAGGTTGGATGGGCTTTGAGCAACCTGGTTTGAGCAACTGTGGCCAGGGGGTTGGAACGAGATGATCTTCAAGGTCCCTTCCAACACAAACCATTCCATGATTCCATGGTTTTCTAACACACCCCCCTCATTCTGCTCTCCTTGCCCTGCAAAGACATAACAATTTGGTTATGGCCTAAGTTTGACTGCTTTCACTCCCTTCTGATGAAATACATACTTCCACCTCAAGCCGTCTTTCGATTGACACCTACTTGTTTACTGAACCTCTCAGCCTGTTCTTCATGGCTCTTCTCAGACACACATTTCAGACTCAGTTGTACTTATATGCAGGTTTGCTGTATCTATCATGAGTTAACAGAATATCCTTGTATTAAATGCATTCCTTCTCAGCATGCACAGCTTTTCAGCTCATACAGCCATTTTCTTTAATTTGACTTTATTATACTGGTTTTCAGACAGAAGATGATCTTGTCTGTCACAAGATCCACTGTTTACTCCAAAATGACAGGTTGTTCTCCTGTGCCCTTAGTTTCAGTCAGAAGGCCTTTCTTATTATTTAAATAATCTGTCTTTAAAAATGTCAATATGTTCAACATCCTTGGGGAAAATGCAAAGTATATGGAATATGAAATTATATGGCTAAATCCTCAATTAGCCCCTTCTCCCCCTCCCCCAGGTAAGCACTACCTTACAGTTGCTTTATGTCTATGTATAGCAGTTAATAGTGGCTCACAGGAGGTTATTCAGCAACATCAGGCTTCCTTTTCCTAAGGCTTGGAACAGCCATTTCTCCTTTTCCAATTTTGGGAAATTAAAGCTCATGAACAGCAACTAATACTGGATTCCCAGACACCATTGCAAAGTACTAGATGCTGAGTTTTCTTCACTGACCTAATCATGTAAAACTTACTACATCAGCTGCAGTGATAACTATGTATTGAATAATCTTTGAAAAAGAGCAAAAAAGAGAAAGCTGTCAAGAGAAGAGAAACCTGCTTTCCTGTTTATTGATCTCTAATGGTGTATTTGTTCACAGACATGCCTGGCCAAATGCACGTCAAACACCAGGGAACTAGTGCAGTTGTCACCTGGACTCCAGAATACAATCCAAAATGTTTTGTGGTTGACTGGGGCACGGGTAAAGAGGATATGCGCATGAAAATAGTAACTACAGCTACTGGAAATTTCACACTAGGTAACAGCAACCACCCTGTTTTTAAAAGCAACCTGAAGACACAGATAAGTGCAACTCTTATCTCTGTCCAGCACTGAGATCATCCAATTTTTAGTAACACTGAGTCAGAGAAAATGTGGACATTTTAGTAGGATTCTTCTGGTCACAGCTGGGCAAGAAATGTAAGCTGCTGTTGCTGGTATGATCTCTCTCCTTGCCCACATCCCAGGGAGACCTAAACACTACCGGCTTTAAAAGCAAAAATAAAATATTTCTCTTGTGTCTAGGTAAGCTTAACTTTAACTATGAACTGCTCTTTAGTCTCCCTTAGATTATTTTTTTTACCCCAATGGCTGTCCTTCTGAAAACCTAAGATCTCAACTCCAGTATTCTGCTGACCAAGGTAGGCATGATGAGCTGCAGCCAAGGATCATTTACATGACAATCATCAAAAATCTAGATTAAAATCATGTAGGTGACACTTGCAAAAGCCATGCAGGACTGGCTTTTATGTACCGTAAAGAGCACTTAGCTTTAGAGTTCTACAAATGAATGCACTCTTTTCCTTGGTCCTTCTGCAACATCCACACTGCCACATTGCACCTAGTTGTTCTGCTTGCTTTTAAATATGATGGCTGAGGGGGAAATACCAGTCCTTGCACTAAGATAATAACAGCCATTTTAGTTCCCCTCTTCTCCTTTAGGAGCTCAAGCCTTTCAGAGAGAGACTACAAATAGGTCTGGCATCTTTGAAAAGAAAAGTTATGTTATATCTCATTCTGCTTTTGAAATGTTTGTAGTAACCATCTAGAGACAATAAAGAGGGATGCACGTATTTGGTAGTCAGTGTAAAACACCATAAACCTATACTGCATTTTGAATCTCAGAAAGTAAGAACTATACAGAAAAACTGCAAGTTGTTTTCTCTCCTGCTTTTCTTTGTAATTTCTAACTTTTCAATGAACTCTGATGTACCTTTATTTGTTTTCCAGACAATTTTCAGCCATTTAAGTTGTACAAAATAATGGTACACGCATCGGATGTGTGTCAGTGTGAAAGTTTCACAGGACATGAAAAGACTTTTGGAGTGACCCATTTTTACTCAGTTGAAGGAGGTATTCCTCCCCTTTATATGATCTCATCTCTCATATTTCTTCTTGTTTCCTATCTGCATCAATTTACATAAAGTTTCTTTTCCAGATGGCTTAACAGCATTGTCCAGTTAGCATTGCCTTTAGTTTTAGCAGTTGTGCTCTGGCAGTGAATGACCTGAATGTTGTTCCTTACTGACAGAACGCAGAAATATTATCATTACATAAGACATTACCAAAATAACAGAAAGAGTGTCTCAGAGTTAGTAACTGTGTTCAAAGTTAGATTTTCCAATCCCAATTTGGAAGTCTCTTATATTTCAAGTTGAAATTATTATGGCTGTGGCTGTTGGAGTAGTGAGACAGTTACAGTTTCTACCTACTTTGGTATTACTTAAGATGAGGGGGTTTTACTCACTAAGATCTCTCCTTTATCTTTCACCCTGATGTTAGATTTATGACAACTAGGATCAGGCAAAGAGCTGTCAAGGAAGCGGCTAGGTTTTAGTCTTGTATGTCTATTGCAGAAGTATTGGTGTACAGCTTAAATTCTTAACTGATTTTTAAGTTCCTAGGACAGGTCCTGCTAATGTGACAATCCTGAATATCACAAAGCATTCTGCACTTGTGAAGTGGACCCAAATAGCTGCTGAAGATTGTTTGGGCTTTCTCCAGGGATACAGGATCAGCTACACAGACACATCTAGGAAAAAGTCTCTGGGTAAGTCACTGCTGCTCAGAACAAAGCAGCAGGTCAGTCATGACAGAAAAGATTCATACAACTGATTAAGTGCTATTGCGGCACAGTACTGAGTTCCTTACATTTCTGTGGGAATTGAGCCCTCTCAAAGGTCAGTTACTGGTTATAGTTTTAATGTTCAGGATGGTCCTCTGAGTACTTAAGAGTGTTTTAGGTATCATCTTGTATTAAATATTGATAAGAAAATATTTCTTTAAAAATTACAGTTCTAAATTCTAATTCTCCTACTGAAGAATTCTTTGGTAACACTGAAAGGAAGATACATGCTGTCAGTATTTCTGAGCTGTTAAGTCTTCAGTCACAAAACTTTTATGTTTCATTGCAACACAGACAAGCTCAACTGAGATTTTCTGTAGGACTTAAGAAATTATACACTTCTTTGTTGAACTTAATTAGAAGGGAATATAGTTTGTATTTCTTACCTGTTTTCAAAGACCCTATTATTTATTTCATTTTTAGAAATTTTGTCTTAAATAGATAGTTTTTGTGTTTGCCTACAAATGATGGAACATCTACACACTAAAATAAATTAATAATTGTGAGCTGAAACCACTTGAGTTAAAAAAGAAATAATAAAAAAAATCCCCATACTCCTTTTGATAAACATTTTACTTCTGGTCTTGAGTGGAAAGTCTTCTTGCTATAAATAATAATACATTGACTTTGCACATACTGACTTTCAAATAAAATTAAAGGCATGCTATGGGAGACAAATAGCACCAGAGACCTGGCAAAGAACAGCAAGCATTCTATAATTCATGTTGGCCTAAGCCTTTAGAGGGCACAAAAAGTAACAAAAGCTTCAAGTAAGCACCATCTTCAGCGGTCCCTCTTCCACCCGAATACCTGTAAGAATGTTTAAGAGGAGACAGAAGGGTAGTGTCCAGGGCTGGATTTAATTATGAGGCTTTTTTTCCCTTTGCCCTGATCTCCAGAGGTCTTTTCCAACCCTAAGATTTCTGTGACTCTGTGACATGAACACTTGATCTCCTCCATGTTTCCCAGGCAGAAAGAATAATTTTATCAGAGAATCTGGGGAAAGGAAGCCTACAAGGCTGCAGCACCATTTCCACCTCTATGAAGATCATTAATTCACAGTGGCCAAATTGAAAAGTAATTCTGCCCTACAGTGTACTGCAGCACCATTGTTCAATTATTCTGGCTAGGGGAAAAGTCACTACATGACCAAAATAAAAACATTGAGCCCTGTTATTCAGAAACAGACCTGTTTCTGCAGTGAATAATAATAGCACTGGTATTAATTAAGGTGAACAACTACTGACTACTGGAGTGAAAGTAAAGCATGTGATAGGGTTTAGTCCTTATGTCAACTGTTACAGTCAACATGAAAACCACTATTCAGGTTGTTAGGTGTGTTTTCCTGTCATGCAGTATACACTGCCTTCTGCGTTCACCACCTAAACATCCTTTGTGTGTTAAAAGCTCATGCATTTTACCTCCAGATTTAAAACATACATAAGTATTTTTGGGAAATCTTGTACCCATCTGAAGAACATCAGCGAGGTGTGGCTTCCTCCAGATACAGATTAGGGCACAGAAATTTTGCCTTTTCCCCAGTCAGCTACACTGATACAGACCCAGCCACCAGAGTTCATCTAATCATCTTCTCCATCCCCTCTTGCTTTTCAGTTGTTACTCTCAATTCTTCTACCACAAGCTACCATCTTACCAGACTGAAGGAAAAAACCAGTTACCGTGTGCAGATTTCAGGATTCACTAATGTGGGTGAAGGACCTCCGACTCATTCACAACCTTTCAGCACTCCAAAATATGGTACCGTGGAAGCTCTATGCATCAATCCTTGCATTATGCACTATATATGCCATTATTCTCTACTCTTTCCCACTTTTCAGGGAGTAACAAAGTGCTCATGCAGGAGATTTATTATTCAGTCCTTAATTATTGATTGCAAACACACAAAGCTGTTCCTTTGTGACAGGTAAACTACGCATCACAGAGCAACTCTGCCTGTACTTCATTACCTAACATGCAGGGAAGACTTAGCTGGATCTCCTCATCTCTGAAATGTTTTCTGACCTCTTTATGCTAGGTATATGCACATACCTTTATTTATTACTGACTCCTGTCATAGATTTCAGCATTTTAAATATTCTGCTTGTGACTAAGGAGGTTCACTAGTCTTTGCTCTTGGCAAACCCCTGAGCAATCATGTAAAATCGGTTTCCAGTTCCCTAAGCCATTAACAATTAAAAAATAGAAGTCTTTTTCAATTGCTCCTATTGTGGGTGACAGCTAATCAAAGTATCCTGTGTTTTAATAATTTAAGTACATTTTATCAAAGAAGTCCTACAGTTTGCTGGCAAAAGTTTTATTTTTCAAGGGTGCCTGGATAGGCTAAGATCAATACACTTCCATTTATAAAGTCTCATAATTTGCAGTCATATAGGGTTGCCTATACGTGGCTTCTCAGACATTTTTAGCACCTTATCAGGTGCTAAAACTAAGCTAAATCTGACACTGCAGTAGACTTTTTTCAGTTTTACCACAGCTTCATTCAATTGGAGCTTTCTAAACAAAAAAACACAATAAAAGAGCAAACTAAGATGGTATCAGGCACAGGAAAAGTAACCTGTGAAATTCAGAGACAGAAGTATGCAAATGGCTACAGCTTTTTTGTATTAAGTGATGGAGGTGTAAATACAAACAGCTGAATAGTCAAAAGGGTGAAGCAGAAAGAAAAGTAAAATAAATTAAAAATATTTCTTGGAATCAAGAGTTTCTGCCCCCCACCCCCAATCCTTTCTCCCTTCAACACAAGAAATTAAAGTGTCTCCACGGCAGCTTTTCTGCAGGACTTTATTCCATGTATCCTATTGAACACATAGAACAGGATATTGAACATACAGAAGATAGGGTTGAATATTTCAAGGAAGTTACAAAAACGCATAGTTAATGCAACATTTTGAAAATTCAAGTAATTACACTGAGTTTAAGCATTATGTTTAATATTTTACACCTCCCCAACATGTCATGTGTTACTTAATCCATTAAAACAACCTCAGGTTTCTTTGTCATAAAAGCTTTTTCAGCAACAAAGCAATTTGCAGGTTTTCGAGTACCTTTTAAAGCATAATTAAGTAGCTCATTGAAAATAAAGAAGTTTTGTTGGTAGGTAGGAAGGAAAAGGAAAAGCAAGCGGCCTTTTGCAAATATGGCTTGTCAGTATCTGCAACACAATCGCATGCTGACCACACTTTCCTGGAGTTATTCTGAATCTTTTGATTTAGCTATCTGTAAAGAATGCCTCAACCCAACCCACTCTTCAGACGACAGATTGCTTTGGCTCCTGTGTGAGCAGCACTGCTGTCCCTGCTCACAGCGAGCAGGACATTATCAACCTTCAGTAAAGTTTTAAGCAATTTACCTCAGTTATCTCTTTTGGGGGTGCGATGAGAAGTTATCTCAAGCAGGTATTAACATAGGCAATAGGAGATGCAGGTTTGCAGCAAGGATTGACAAATAGCGGACTGCAGATAAAATTGTCTCAATGTATCCAACAGGGAAACTGTGGCACCTACCAACTACACAAACTATATTCTTATTATCAGGACCAGGTAGATCTCACCCAAACACCCAAGTCCTGCTACTAAAACCTGAAAGAGATTAAAAAACATTTTCACTCAACTAGTTTCTCATGAAGTCAGACCTTCATTAGGGTCTTGAGATGTTAAACAACATAGAGCTCACCTAATAGCATCGGGATTAGGAATACTTTGGTTTTTGTAACGTGTTTGTCTTTGAATAGCAGGGTTAATAATTCAGCACATAAGTCTAGGTATTTAAAAATACAAATCTGAAAGCCTCAGACCACCCAGAAAACTTGGGTCTTGTTTTAACTAGGTTTCACTTACAGGCACCCCAGAACATGTGTAAGGTTTGACTTCTGTTTGAAATACTTCTCTTGTGTAGGCAAATAGTCTTCCTATACTTGATACCATAAAGCTGATTCAATCTCTCTATTTCCCATCAGATAAAGGAGAATTTGAAGGTTTTGTGACTGGCCTTTGCTTCAGCACAATATTCATTCTGGTTTTTGCACCTCTCACTTGTTCTCTGCTGCTTAAAAGGTAAGGGAATATTGACTGAAGTTGTTAGCAGCATTTCCAGTTTGTTTCACCCTGAGTTTCATAGCACTGGGCCTTTTTTGTCATTAAAAGCAATCCAAGTCAGAAAGCACACAACACAAAAGCCACACCACACCATGCATTTACAAAGTAAGAGCAATTGCAAACTACTATAAGCTGATTAAATTAGTTTCTCAAAATCTATAATCTTTCACTTTTAATACCGTTATCTGACTGCCTCCTGTCTCACCCTTGAAAAGAGTGAGGACCATTCTTCACAGTGGGAAATGGTTATATATATGGAAAAAGCATGCATTCGATTATTTTGCACTTTCATTCCCAACTGATAATCATCTCTTCTATTGAAATACAAAAAGAAATTCCATTGTGTGGCATACACAAATTGATGTTGCTATCTAAGCAGTTTCCTGCAAACACACTTGGATGTCAACTGTATGAATTATGCACATAAACACATAATGAGAAGTAGTAATAGGTGGATGAGTAAGAAGAAAAGAGAATAACTAGGGTGCCTCATCCATAGTAAGATATGGATGAGGTCCTCTTATTTTTGGAGAAGTTGTTCTCTGTAGTAATAAAGTATACACATACACATCCCTCAAATTAATCTGAGGTGCAATATGAGGGGCATATAAGAAAAATGATTTGCATAGTAATGGGTTCTAATGTTCATTTTCTGATAAGCCTAGTTTCCTACAGCTATTCATACTATTGTTTTGGTGTCCTAGAACATTACACTCCCTTCTTCTACTTTTTATAAAGCACCAGCCTCAGAAGCTGAAAACACAGCTGCTGAAGGACAGAAGAGATAGATGGCACAAACCATAGCTTGAAAACCGTATGGCAAGATATAGCTCATTTCAGCTTATGTATCAGGCTAAACTCCTGCCCTTGCCATTGGGAGACAGGCTGCATTCCACATTAAGACGCCTGTGCACTGTCTTTTCAGATTTTGCTTTAAGTTGCTTTACATCTGATCTAGTGTCTTTGACAACAGCTTCTGAGACTTACACAGAAGTTTCACCTAGATCAGAGAACCAGTAACTCTACAACCTCAGGCTTCACCTCAAACCACAGGCTAAACAGAGGCAAAGTACATTTCAGCTAATGAAATCCAGGTTTGATTTGAAAACCAGACTTCACTGAAGCCAACACTAAGGCAAGGTGATGGGCTACACAGCCTCCCACAGTCTCACAGCTGTGTTGAGTTTTTGCCTGTGGACATGAGACATTGGGCAAAACTCAAAGAGCGGTGTTCTGAGAGCAGCTACTGACAGGGAGATCACCTCAAAAATGCCAAGGGATTATCTTCTTCCACTCCCACAGAAGCCATGCATGAGCAGCCAGGGGTGAACTGGTGCCAATGGGACCAGTCAGCTCAGCAGAAACTCCTTCTGAAATTCCCATCACACCCCTCTGCTGCCCCTCCATAGGGAAATTACAGCTAGACCCCCCAGACTGGGGCCAGGACCAGAATCCGAGGGCAGTGGGAATAATAGTCAGGTCAACATTGCAGCCCTTCTGCTTGGGAAGGGACACAGAGGACAATGCCTGAGATAGTACCCATGATGGCAGGGGATCAAGGTGGCTGGAGATCATAGCAGCTTGTTGCCAGTTTTCATTCTGGGCCCTTCAATGCAATGAAGCAGCATGAAGAAAAGGGTTCTGATGGAAGACCTTTCAGCCAGCTGAAACTCATTTGAACACCTCTATTGAAAAACTCAGCTCTACCTTACAAACCCCTTCCCAGAAAAAGCCAAATTCAAAATGATTAGGAAAGAGCAGGAGCTGTGATGTACCCCTGTTCTGGTCTGAAGGTACCAGGGAGACCTTCTGCAAGGCCACCAGTGTCACTGCACCAAAAATAAGAACAGCAATAGCTTGCTTGCTCTTTCTTGGAGGGAAAGTAAGCTTCTAAGCAGAAGCCCAGGAACAAATATTTACTAAAACATTTCCTGAGTGTCCCAAAGTCCTCAAGGAAGACGGAGGTTTTGTGGAAATGAGAAAATTAGGAAAATACAATGATTAAATGTATAGAAAGAGACATTAACAGCTCCTGTCACAGCTCCTTTGTCTTCAAGCAAAGATTCTAATTGTCACTAACTCAGCATTCGGTGTAGACTACCAAGCTTGGTCTTCTCTTTTTAATTGGCATTATGCTTAATAGTCATCATAGAACAGTAAAATGTTGCATATAAATGTCAGTTAATTTAAATGAACAGAATATGTCAATTAACCTGAAAATAAATTTAAATATTTCTTTACAGGCTGAAAATATCATGCTGGCCCAGTGTACCAAGTCCAAAAAACAGCAGTGCACTCCAAAATATGGCAAGTGCTCTTCTGATGGTGTGAAAAAATACACAAAGGAGATCCTTCTAGTGATTAATCAGTAATGCTAGTTACTGGTCTTTTCATACTTTACCCCAGCAAATGCCTAATATCAACAGTTGGGAAGCTACGGTAATACTAGAAATACAGGACTGGGGAGGGTTTAGTGTTGTTTAGCCAGAGGCTGTATGCAGTTTTTAATTTAGTAACTCTTCTCAGACTTTGTTTAGAACAGGATAGAGTGTATTAAAAGGTACGGTTGATAGAAGAACAAAGCCAAGTTGAATGGGTGGAGATGGAAACCAAAGAGAGAAATTCAGGTTTTCTATCCAGTCAGTTTCCACCAACAGAACCGATAATTAAGTACAAATTACACAAAATACAAATTAACATTGCAGCCTAATTCCATAGAACTCTCCCAGTGAAGGCCATGTAAACGGTATTTTGTGATATCTGTTTCTCACCCTTCAGCCTCTACCTGCTTAAAGAGCAATCCAGGGGCTTTGCCTGGTCAGCTGGTAGCTGGCTGAGGACCACCTACTAGTCAACAGACACCAGGGTTCAGCAGCTTGTTCAAATCTTGCCCATGGCTTTCACATGTGTTTTGGAAAGGGTACCTGAATTTCAGGACTGAAGAAGCACCTCGGTTTATCTCCCAAGTCTCAGACCACCAACCATTATATTTTTGCTTCCCTCTTCTAAATCGCTTTGATTTTTCTGGCAGGCCAGAGCTTTATTTGGCACTTGTAGCTCAAAAGCAAATAATCCAAAAGCAAAATATACCTGTTTAAAATGCATTAAGATACTCCTACAGAAGCAAAGCAACTATAAAAGAAAATTAAGTCTGTATTAGCCAAGACTGGTAGATTAATATGGTAAGGTTGATAACACAGCAGAAACAGAAATTACAGGTATCAGGTAAGAGTTTGGTGGAAAGCAGAAAAAGTCCTATGTGAGAAGACCGTACAATAAAGATATATTCCAGACATATTCCCTAGAAGTAATCTGATATTATGAACATTTCATGAAACGTGGAGAAAAGTATTCCCAGAATGAGCTTTGTAAAATGGAGGCAGGGAGTAAACCTTATTATATTCTGTATATTTATTCTATTTGCAGGTTGTTTCAAGACTGAACCCCATCAGGTTAGTTGAGCAATGTAGCAGCTCTTGACACACACATATAGTACAGAGAGGTGGCAAGAAAATTTGTACTTTAAATCCAGACAGAGCATTCCTTATTGCAACCAAAGGCAGTGATAACATCCCACAGTACAGAGCAGTAGGAAGAATTGGGAACCCTCTCCATTCAGTCAGACACAGAGCCCAGGAAAATGAACTACAGGGACCAAGATGGACAGCCAGCCACCCTGTCAGTGTCCTGTTCTTCATGGTTAGACAAGATTCTTCAAAGATGATGCTTTCTCTTCATCCATCATTGCCTCTTTCAGACAGAAGCTCACACAGAGCTTATTTTAGATTTGGTAGGTGTAGAGTTTGGGCTGCTGTTCATAATAAATACAATAATGGAGGTACATATCACACAAGTCCTTATTTAAAACAAGGCAAAATCTGACCATGCGGAGGTGTCTACTTAACCCATTACAAGAGAAATATAGAGATATTTTATGTGGGATTACTGAGAATTCAAAGAATTGCATACTAATTTCCAAGTTAGAATACAAATTGTAAAAAGAAAGAAAATTAAAACCAATGCAATTTTATTTCTTGCAAAAGAACCATAACAATTTTAACAAATTTAGAACAGCTGAGGAGGGAAAAAAAAAAAAAAAAGAGCTAAAAAGAAAGCAAATAGTTATAGCAGAGAACTTACCAGCTTGGCAATGACTTAAAGAACTTTTTGGCAAAAGTGGGCAAACGCAGCAGAACGATCAAAGTGGAAAAGAAGTTTTACAAACTGTTCTCCTTTGAATCATGTAGAAGTTGCAAAAGCTTGTAACCCAAGGTACTCATTTAACCTTTGGACTACAAGATGGCATTAAGCTGAATAACAAACCAGTAGCAGCAGCTGGTAGATAAAGCTCGTTCACCTGCTGTACAGTTCAAGCTGCCACCTTTTTATAGTAACACGTTTGTTAAACTTTTCAGAATAGCAGAATAGAAGCCTACATTTTATCATCACTACATTTCGTCCCAATCACACATGAACACAAGAAACACTTTGCTTATTTAGCTTGGGAGAGGAGAAGATGGTCCTCTGAGTTAGTGAAATCAATCTTTTTCCCTCAATTTTCTAAAATCAATGAAGATGAGATTAAATGTATTACCATATTATATAGGTAGGATCAGGCTGCCTGTCTCTTATCTTTTTGTTATTTATTTCAGTAAATTGACAATTGCATTTCATGAAAGTATGACATGAGTATTGGGCCTACAAGGATGCTGGGGAGGGACTCTTCATCAGGGACTGTAATGACAGCACAAGGGCTAATGGTTTCAAACTTAAACAGGGGAAGTTTAAATTATATACAAGGAAGAAGTTCTTTACTGTTAGGGTGGTGAGGCACTGGAATGGGCTGCCCAAGGAAGCTGTGAATGCTCCATCCCTGGCAGTGTTCAACGCCAGGCTGGACAGAGCCTTGGGTGAGATGGTTTAGTGTGAGGTGTCCCTGCCCATGGCAGGGGGGTTGGAACTTGATGATCTTAAGGTCCTTTCCAACCCTAACTATTCTATGATTCTATGACACTAAAACTATTCTTTCTCCCTGCTTTGTTTTGCAGATTAATTGGAAACCTGTTTCAAGGTCACTGCTTCAGGCCCTGTCAGACAATGTTAACACCAGTCTTTATGTCATCGAGCATGAGACAAAGGCTTCTTTGAAGTTAGACCTCTTTACAGATGGTGGAGAAGACAGCAAATGTAACACTGACCAGTCAGAAGAACCTAGCAATAACTTAGACATAAGCCTAAAGCAGAAAGAAATCCCTGAAGAAGTAGTAACAAGTGAAAAAGAAGGAATCATTTCCATTACCGTACCACTCTTGAGTGACTACACTAGCATGGAGATCAGCCAAAAAGCCTTGATGAGCCTGACAGTGAAACTGCCTGCAAGAGTTGTTCATCCTCATCTGAAAATGGAGCTAAGCAGTAAGCCAGCACAAACTGAGCATGAGCGTTTGTTTGCTCCCCAAGACTACCTCAAGCAAAACCAGCTGGTACTCTTGACATCTGGACCAAATTTCATGGGACAAGTCAATTCAAACTGAAGCCGTAATTTCTTCATATTTTTTTCAAATTTCAAAATATAATTTCCCATACTGTAAAATCCAGTTCCAAAACCTCTAATGCTTAAATGAAGCCATTAGGACCATGTAGTGTTACTGTAAAAATTGGCCAGAGAAATTCTCTAAGACTCAATTTGGAGTTTAGAGAGCAGCATTCTTCATTGCAGCACTGGGTGCACATGCAAATTGTTTTGCAAAGGTGAATGCCCCCATTACTTGCCGGCAGCAGCTGTATATTTAGCATATTCATGCATACTAACAAATTTTCCATGAGATTATTTACATATTCATGCTATTTCCATGAATTAATTATAATATTTGCATCCTAATTACATGTGCTCTTTCTTGCTGAGTGGGGGTCTCTGATGGCTGCTCACTGTGTTTACTGAATGACCTCAGTCCTTGCTCATGTTTGCAAGGTCCCAGTGCTGAGTTAGCAGCTGGTATGTCTTTGCTTCTGTTCTGCTCCATGTTGGATGCCACTCTGCTATCTTGAAAGCTGGCATCCTCGGTCTTGTTTATTGTCTCCATAGCTGTTATAAATCCTGTGATGTTCCTTCCCCCGTCAGCTGGAAATACCTTTGTCTCCACATGTTAGCAAGTTAGAACAATTTACTGTATTTTACTATGTTAGTTTAAAGCCACACACACTGTTAGTTTAAATCTGTAATTAAGCCTACAGTAGGACAGTTGTGACAATAGTATCTACTTCAATAAAATTCCTTGGTGAGATAGATTCATTATGTAATTATATTAGCTATTTCACCACAGTCAATTCTGTGGAAAATCCTATTGTCTTCACACAGGCAAAACTTTCAGGGAACTGTATGAAAAACCTTCCAGTGAGGTACCTCTTGTTAGATGCTTAGTGCCAGGGCACTCAGGAAGCCATTTCAAGGCAGAATGTCATCAGGAGAGTTCACTATGACCAGTTTAAGACCCAATTTTCAGATCTGATAATCTCTTCAGGAAAAATTCCAGCAGAAGTGTCTACCACCCCAAAAGAAGCTGTCCAGCTGTTCAAAGCTGGCCAAAAGAGTGAAAAGCGTTCAATATAGGAATAGAAAATTATGCTTATCCATCTGTGTAAAGCACTATTAAATGCTTTATATATTAGAACTTTACACCTTTATTTATCATAGATGAATAGCACTGTGTAAATGAGGATGATAATAAATATCAGTATTAGTGCTGGAGTTCTTACTTGCTTTAAATTAAAGCTATTTCTTCCATGTTTATCTACACAGGAATAGAAATCTATTCACGTTCTGTTATGAGATGCAGTTGCCGATACCATTTCACAGTGCATGTAATGATGGTATCTGCTGAACAGACCTCAAGAACTGAATAGATAGTTGTTATTCAGCCCTCCAAAGCTTGCACTGAGGAGAAATCACAGGGATATAGGGAATAAAAAGGTCTTCCCTAATATCCTCTTTATTTGACTCCCTCATGTATCTCTGGTGCAAGGAGTCTGAATTGGTTTTCCAGCTTATGAGAGCTGCCCACCCATGAACTCTGTAGGCATTAATGGTTTGCAGCTATTGTAGATAACTCAGTTTATTGTTGTTGTCTCTAGGTTACAGAGCATTTTATTATAATTATTTTGTGGAGAAATTGATCCATTGTACTGTAAGTACCAGAGGCTCCTTAGACAGACATCTCTTAAAATTCTCTCATTAAAAGTGAAGGACAACTCACATTCACACAAATACTTTCATGCATATTAGGCAGTATGAATTATAGAATAGCAATGCTTACAAAAAGCTTAAAAAAATTGTGTATGTCCCGCTTGACTGATTTATTGAGGCCCCAAAACAAAACCTGTTCACTTCCCTTATTTATATTCTCTCTCTTTATCTGTATCTCTCTATGTCTGTTAGAACTGGTAGGAATGAACCTGTATTTCACTGTGGAGTTTGCATTGTTTCTTTCTTAGCAGTTAAAATGCATTGTTTTGCCACAAAGCAATCTACCTGTTACTACTTATCCCTGTTACCTCTGCTCATTAAATGAAGGGGTAACAGGAGCATTCCCCACACCACCTCAAAGGTTTGAGCAGTCCTTTAGATCTCTTCATGTGTTTTAACTTCAACTGGGGGGCAGTGGGAAGGGGAATGATATTTGTTTATTGTTGTTGTTTAGTTCTTCTGTGGGAATTTTTAGTTCCGTTGTAAGGAACCCACAATAATCGCAGTCTAACTGGCTGACCCCTTCAGGCAGGTTATAGAAATGTGTGCATATACAGACTGCAGAAGCCTGCCTACCTCTACAAATAGGTATTTCATGTGCTGTAGTACTGTGCAGGTGGTTTCAGTAGGATGCTTAGCTTCAGTATTCTTAGCTCTGCTATTGTTATGTTAGGAGTGAAAGCTTCCAAATATGGAAGCTCAGAACCAGTGTTAGCAATAGTGAGAACTTGGACACTGTAAAAGTTTAGACAGTTAACTGTAGGTCTGGAGGCATACAGCATAGTGATTTATAGCACGAGGTATTATACTGCAGAGTTACAGTGTTTTTATATTTTATATATATATTTTATATTTACAAAGAGAGGAATGTAATATACAGTCTCTAATATGGCCTCTAAAAACATGCACAAAGCAAAGTTAGTACATACCTATTTTTTCTGGTACCCAGAGTAGATGATTTTCTTGCATATTTTAATGTAATATAGCATGGGGATTTTGTTGCTGTTGTTGTTGTTTTGGGGGCTTCGGGAGCTGGGGTTTTGGGCTTTTTTTTACACTTCAGGTCAGACTAAAGTGCAGTATTCAGACAGCACTGAAAATTACCACAGAGTTTCAGAGACTCAGCCTGGAGTAAGAGACTGTCACAACCACAGTATTCCAGAGGGTTTTTTTTCACTCTGTATTAACTAAATAGAATAATTACAGAATAGCTACAAATCCCCTAAAATCATAAGCCTTTGGGGTACTTTGGCAACCTTAAAAGACACCTTTGTGGCACTATGGCATCTGCACTTGAGTGTCCACCTGAAAGCAAAGAGCACAGGTGCATCCTGTCAATATCAGTCAACCCATTACTGCCACAAAAACTGTAAAATAGTGAAACACTTCATTAAAGTCCTGTATTTACAGAAGACACTTCTCTGAAAGTTCTTTTGACTGTGTCACAGGCTCTTGGTTTACCTGTTTCTCTCTCTGTTGATGGCACTGTTTGTCTACTGCCTGAATGTTGTTAACTGTATCCTGGTACTGCACTGATGGTATCTGTATGAAAGTGGGTAATAAAACCTGGGACAGCTTATATCAGTCACTTCTGAGCATTGTTTACAGAAGACTGCTTCTAAGATAAATCAATCCATGCCAATGGAGGGGAAAAAGAGGGAGGCAGGATGGGGACAGAGAGCATGGAATAATCTCATCCCCATATCTATTTTATTTCTACCGCAGAAGCACAAGTTTCATTAATAAAACTGAAAACTACCTGTCATGCTAGAAAAGGTCATTCACATCACCCATACTCAGAGACCCCTTTAGTGCTTCACAGAATCATAGAATAGAATGATAGAATCACTTAGGTTGGAAAAGACCTTTAAGATCATTAAGTCCAACTATTAACCCAACACTGCCAAGCCCATCACTAAATCATGTCCCTAAGCATCACACCTGCACATCTTTTAAACACCTCCAGGGACGGAGACTCCACAACTGCCCTGGGCAGCCTGTTCCAGTGCTTGTCAACCCTTTCGGTGAAGAAATCTTTCGTTAAGGTCCAGCTGAAACCTCCCCTGGTGCAATTTGAAGCCATTTCCTCTCTTCCTGTTACTTGTCACTTGGGAGAAGAGATGACAGTCACTCAATTGCAGGGAGCAATAAGGTCCCTCCCAGGCCTCCTTTTCTATAGATTAAATAACCCCAATTCCCTCAGCTGCTCCTCATAAGACTTGTGCTCTCTTATTTTCTCACACACAGCTTTCCCTGGACCAGGACAGAAGCAAACTGCCAGGGAAATCGTGATGAAACATGTTCAGGGCCTTACTGGAAACACTGGAGTTCAGGCAGGCTGGAGAGTAGCAGACATGCTATTTTAACTGTAAATTGTAGGCTGCAGCCAGTTTTGGTATGTTGCTCATACAGAAATGGACAGCAGAACCATAAAGATCTTACGGGTATTCTCTGACCTTTCCCAAACAGTTGACTGCTACTGTTATATTTTGCTGGTCATGGTTCAAGCCAAGATACTCGGCTGTCAGCAACCTTCAACTTTCTTGTGAATTGCAATGAAATAACCATTCTGGCACTCATTTCAAGTGTATGGTGGCTGGGTGTCATCAGATCTAGAATCCATAAAGCTCAGTAATTCCCTTTTAGTATGACAGCTGCGGCTTTGCTTTCACTATCTGGATGGCTTTGGTGCATTACATCTATCTTGAAATGAATGTAGCCGCTGTGACTTCTGTATGTTATATTCAAGCACTACACATTCAATTCTGGAACTGAGGCCACCCATGTTTCTGCAATTTATCATAGCTGTCTCAAACCAACTGTAATTGCCAATGCCCATACAGCATACATAGACAAGCTATTTATCTAGACACACACTGTATTGTAGCTTCTCAACACTGCATGGGCTCGTGCCTCATAAATACTAAAGCAGTAGCATGTAGTGACTCTGAAGTTCTAATTTGTCAGGTCCGGTTACACTGTGTCACGGAAATGTTCTTCCACTGCTATAGAACATTTGTGGAAAAGTTAAGATAAAATTGACATGAGATACATTGGCTCAATGAAAATTAACACTGTTAGTAAGGATCTCACTAGGAAAAAGTAAAAATATTTCCACTACTAACATAAGAGATTTTGTGGATGCTGAGAAAAGCCCTAGCTCCAATGACAGTTAAAACACAGTCCAGTGATACAAGATCCTGTTCACTCTATTTCAATGTTCATTCACTGTTGGTGAGAAGACCCTTGGAATTTTGAAAACGTAAGCAAGTGCAACTACAGAAGCAACACTGGAGAAGCAGTTGCAGCTTTAACAGAATACTATTTTTTTCAGCTTCCAAGAACAGTTGTGTTTTGGTTTTGATTTGTTTTTTTTTATTTTTTTAAATACTGGTTGATTATTGGAAAACTTCAAGGAAAAAGAAGGGAAGGTTTGGATGCAGAGAACAAGCTGACAGAACTCCAAGCACCAGGAACAAAATGGAAGATACTGTTTATTTTATCTTATACTCTTACACTTGTATAGTGTCCTTCCAGCACCCCCAATGTATCTTGGCCCTGAAACCAACTGCATTGCCTGAGAGGCTCAGTATTGCATATTGACACCATGGTGCTCTGCCTAATGCCATATCAGCAGAATCCAGCTGTACAGTTCCTATCTGTTTTCCACGCTAGCACATCTCTCATTGCAGTCATAGACTAAGTCCAGAATAGTTCATTTTCTCCTGCTTTAAATAAAAGCACGTGCCTGCTCCCAAGCATTTTAAATTACCTTTCCCCTGAAAAAAAAAAAGAAACAGTTAAAACAAATTTAATCAGGTAATTAGCTGCA